TCGAGGACCCTTGCAATTCTACAATTCTACAATTCTATGTCAACATTTTAACTGCATATTTATTTCACAAGGTGCACATTTCTCCTAAGTAGCTTCTGAAATCAGACCATTTTGCATCCAAGCTATTTGTAATGTTTACCATAGACATGTCTACTCGGAAATAAGTCCCATTGAGTTCAATGAGACGCACTCCCATTATAGGATTGCAGCCTAAAATATATGTAACATGCATGTTGCTTAACCTATTACTCCATCTAGTTTAATTGCACATTTTTGACAAGGCCTGGTGGCAGATGCTTTATAGGCAGCGTGCAAGAAACAGAGCGATTCAAAGGAGAATTGTTTTATTTATATAATTTACAAACCACTTCCCTTGAGGCACCCCAAAGAGATCTCCAATATTGTAAAAGTGACATTACTGTACGTAAAACAGTTGATAATAGAGATAGACTTTTAACCATTCAAGCAACAACAAAAACATAAAAAAATCCTTTTGCCCACTTGCGTTATTCTCACCAGGGTGGTGGCTTTGATTTGCCTTCCTGTGATTGATCCATGCATACAGCTTTGTGTTTCCAACTCAAAACCCATTGAAGAACATCTCATCCAATTCGATCTTTGAAAAACAGCTTTGAAAAACTTTTTCATATTCTCCAGTGTGCTACCCTTGCCATTGTGGCGGCACGGGGTTGCCATTCTGTGACTGAACTTACGCTACTTGTTGAACGGTTCATTTATCCAGTCTGTATAATGTTTATTGCACATGTAACTTGTTAAGATACAGTTGTACATTTATCCACTCCATGTTTACAGTATCTCCAGGCTTTGTTTTGCATATGGCACCTTAGTATGTTTGTTGCTTGAATGGTTACAAGTCTATCTCTATTCTAGCTATTATTCTAGTAAATTTGGTTTTATACTTATAAACCAGTTTGTGGTGGTGTTGTTTTGTTGCATTATTATTACTGCCACTACATTTGATACTTTGTGTATGTACATAAAACAGTTGAAACAACTGCATATAGAAAGGCAATTCAACAAACATTATAAATATATAAAAAACAGCGTAAAACGTCGACATCACATTCACGAAATCAATTCAATTAATAGACGGGTAGCAGCTGGGATTTTAGAAGGCTTGTTTGAAAGAGGAATGTTAGCAGGCGTTGAAAAGATGATAGAGAGAGCACCTGTTTGGTATGCAATGCCAGGGAGTTCCAAGCTGCTGAATGAACTATCAATTTTAATCCCGAAGGCAATGATGTTGTGTGCATCATCTGGGCATGTTACACGCATTCTTTCCACCCAAACCAAATAAGTAATCACACCCAAGCATAGGCTTCTTTTTTTGGGGGGGGGTGCAGGTGTTTCAGGAAGCCAGCTCAATTACAGGTCAGTGGGTCTACCCCTCTCCACAGCTGGTGCTTTTAAATCTATATATAGGCCTTGATTTAGATTTGAAGCATAAAGAGCTGCTAAGCCAGCAAACCGATGACATGTAATTGGAAAAACTTCCAGGGGATGCATATAAGTGGGTATGGCAGGTGGCTTTGCTTGAAAAGTTAACACAAATGTTAAAGAGTTGCCAGTGGGCCGGGAAAAAAAGACTTTTCTGAATGGGTTTGATACATGTTTAACTTTGCTAGCAGAACATGGATGATCACCACCACCAACATATACTTGGTTTTGGACACTATTAACTGGGCTGGACTCTTTGCTCTGGAAAGCAGAGATGCATGAACTCTCTTTTGACTGAGACTGGAGCTCAGGGGCTCTCACTCAGCCTTTGGTATTGACAAACATACCTTGGACTTCTGATGTGAAATGCAACTGTTTTCTTTCAACAGTGCAGCAGGGGGGGGGAAGCATGCTGTTCAAGTTTTACATGCTTTAAAATGCATTTGGGGGGCGGGGTAATCACATTTCTGGCCCAACTTGGTTATGATAGCTACTGATGGATACTAATGAGTTTCACAAATAATTTCTGTATTGTTGGGGGGAGGGAGAATCTCCTTTCCCATTTTGTATGCACAGTCTTCTGTCTTTTAGTAGCATCTTTCAGTAGCATCCAAATCTAAATAAGAATAAAACACCTGATTATTCAAATACAAAAGCAAAATATTCTATCTGTCTGGGGGAATAAGGGAGTACTGTGCCTGCTAACTTTGTTTTCTTTTAATAACATTCTTTGCCTTGTATTCCAACATGCAAATTTTTCCATTTATAATCACCATTTGCATCATTATCTACCTGCTACAAGATCCTGGTGTCATTCCATATGTTAATCACAACATAGTCCATGTTTTCTATCCCCTGCTTTGTATTTGGATTCTTAAATCACCTTATGCTTCCTTCAGGTTAGAAGTTAGCCTGGAATTAATTATTCCAGTTCCTGCGATGGCAAGGACGCAATAAAAATGAGTGTGAGGTGGTGGTGATTATTAATTAAATAATTTCAATTTTGATGGTGTTCACACCTTCACTTGTCTGATGTGGATATCTATTTGGAGGAAGCCGGGTTTGTTTTGCTTTTAAATAACATTTTGCAGCAGAAAGCAGATAACAAAATCCACTGCAGAAAAATGGGGAAGCGACTGAATACAAAAGCCAAGTCACAAAATAATAGGCTTGTGTTTTCATTGCTATTGAAAAGGGGAATTGGATTGTTGGAAATGATCACAGGGCTGTCAGATCTACCTCATGTTGTTGTTTCTGTCCTTGGAACGGCAGAAATACTTTGCCCAGTGCAATTCAGCACTGGCAGATAACACGAGTAAGGAAATCCTGGTGCCAGCCCTATTTTCCTGAAATGAATAGAGGAGATCAGGCCTCACTCAGACCTCCTGTATGACCCAAAGCCTACCCTTATGTCTACAGAATGGCAATATTGTGTGCAACCAAGCCAGAATCCAAGGGTTTCCATTACTCCCATCTCTATCTTCTCATGCCATTTTATACCAACATGAGTAACTAAATTATGAGCTCCTGGGATCTTTCTAGACTGTGTTATCCTGGCTCAGTGACATAATAGCTAATGAGCTTGCCCATCCATCAACTCATGTACTTACCCAGCCAGTTACAGATTTTATATATTAAAAAATATTTATAGAGCACCTCCTCAAATCAAAATCAACTGTTTTTGTAAAACGCTTTAAGGTTTTCTACAGTCAAGTGGTATATATTTTTTATGAAATAAGTAAACTATTATACAGATGTAATAAAGCATGAAACACCATAAAACAATGCAAAATAACCATCAAATAACTGGCTCATCTAGAAAAAGTTTAAACAACTGCACCACTGGGGGCCACCCCCTATGCATGGTTTTCAGTGGAAAATTACTTCTGCTCTGAACCTGGAGGTTTTAATTTATCCGTCATGCCATTGATAATCCTTCTTCTCCTGGCATCTGCTAAATCCCTTCAGGAACATAGAAAGCTGCATAATGGTCATCTGGTTCTATATTACCAGCACTGACTGGCAGCACCTCTCCAGGAATTTCAGGCAAGTGGCCTTTCCCAACACTACCCAAGGGTGCCAACTTGAATATAATGGGGGGGGGGGAGCCAGGTAAGTCCCACACAATCAGTCACAAGATGTGGCAAACACACCCTATTTTTATGGCAATGCCCATCAACTTGGAGGGGGCAACAGTGATCCCCTCAAATATTTTATTGGGGAGGGGCAAAGGGACCTTGGTCCCTAGGAATTAGCTCCTATGGGACTATGAATGAACGTAAATATGCCGGATTTACTTATAAACTAAACAAGCTATAGCTTAGGGCCCCACTCTCTCCCCCCCCAATTCACTATTAATATACAGTGGTACCTCAGGTTACATACGCTTCAGGTTACATATGCTTCAGGTTACAGACTCCGCTAACCCAGAAATATTACCTCGGGTTAAGACCTTTGCTTCAGGATGAGAACAGAAATCATGCTCTGGTGGCATGGCAGCAGTGGTGCTAAAGTGGTGCTACAGGTTAAGAACAGTTTCAGGTTAAGAATGGACCTCCAGAACGAATTAAGTACTTAACCCGGGATACCACTGTACTTCTTCTTAATTGGATTTCAGTTCAACAATTACTTTGATAAAATACATATCTTGTTATGTGAAAATATACCTATTATAGATACCTATTAGGTCCATAAAGTATCATATAGCATATATTAGGTCCTTTTGTGACCGACTCTGGGGTTGCGGCGCTCATCTCGTTTTACTGGCTGAGGGAGCCAGCATACAGCTTCCGGGTCATGTGGCCAGCATGACTAAGCCACTTCTGGCAAACCAGAGCAGCGCACGGAAACTCCGTTTACCTTCCTGTCAGAGTGGTACCTATCTATCTACTTGCACTTTGAGGTGCTTTCGAACTGCTAGGTTGGCAGCAGCAGGGACCGAGCAACGGGAGCTCACCCCGTTGCGGGGATTCGAACCACCGACCTTCTGATCGGCAAGCCCTAGGCTCTGTGGTTTAGACCACAGCGCCACCCGCCATATAGCATATATTCAACACAAAAAAGAGCGACAATTTGTTGTTGACAAAGGACAGCTGGACATATAAAGGGCCCCGTTACCTTCATCAAACCTAAATCTGGCCCTGGGCACTACCTGGATATTGGGGGGTGTTTCGAACCTGGGATCTTCTGGATGCAAAGATGATGCCCTGCCACCGAATCATAGAATTGTAGAGCTGGGAGAGACCCCTAAGGATCATCCAGCCTGACCCCTGGGGCAAACGGTTCCACGAAAAGCAGCACCTGTTGAATTTCCGCCTTGCGCGCCGCTTTGCCGCTGACAACGCAGAGCGGCATCTCTAAAGGGGGGGGGAGGCAGCCCCGCCCCCTCTGCAGCCTCAGCAAAAAAAAAAAAAGAACACCCCAAAGCACCCCACGCCCGATGCCACCGAGCGACGGGGGGAGGAGCCAGCGCCGCGCGAAGTCGGATTGGTGGCTCCCTAGCCCTGGCTCCGCCTCCTCCTGCCTCAGGTTGTCGCTGGAAACCAGAAGCCGCCAGTTCTGCTTTCTGCTCTCGGCTGGCCGGTGAGGAAGACCCGGGAGTCCCAGCCGGGGCGTGGAAGAAGGGCGAGGCGCGCGGGCGCGTGGAAGCGGGGCTCGGCTGCTTCTCGAAGGGGAGCCCCTCGGAGCCGGTAAGCCCTCGCCGGCTCGTGCCCTGCGTGGCGCGCTTCTCTCTTTCAGTTCGGCGGCGCGACAGTGTAAACAGAGCAAAGGTGGGGCGAGGAGGAGGCGGCTCCAGGAACAAGCGCCTTCTCTTTCAGGGCCCCCTTCGAGCTAAGCTCTCCAGCTCGCTCCTTCTCGGCTGCTCGCCTCTCAGGGGTGCGATTGTCGATGGCTGTGTGTTGGGGCTCTGGAAGGGAAGAAAGTTCAGACCCCGGAGGAGACTCGGGGAACTGACTCGGTTTTGGGGAGAAGGCAGCAGCCCAAACAGACCCTGGGATTTGAAGGGTAACCTCACCTCTGACTTCCCTGGGTCTAAGTTTTGACATGGCAGAAGGAAGCTGTGAGCTCTCCCTCCATGAGGACTGGTGACAGATTCCTCCACACAGAAAGCTAGCCCGTTACTGAGGTAATACAAGGACCAACCTTCTCTCTTAATAGCTGGCTTTCTGTGTGCATGGAGTTATTTTCTAGGGAGCATGCAATCCTGTGCAGGGTCCACTTGCGGTTTGGAGCGTTCACAAGTTTATCCCCGTATCTTGTGTGTTTAAAAACCCAGGCCATGCCCTGTGTTTATCTTTAGGCACATGCTGGTTTATCTGAAATCTTTGATGCCTGCAGACCATTCAGATAGTGAAGTTGGACATTATGTAACCTGGGGAGTCTTGTGTTCACCTGGAAGCCTCCCATATCTTTTAAACCATATTATCCTGGCCTCCAGACCCCTTGAAGTCGACTTCTGTCAGGTACAAGCTTTGGCTTTTGTAGGAGAGGAGGAGGAGGAGGGAAGGGAAGGAACTCTGCTTTGGAAATCCAGTATGAGATTCTTCAAGCCTATTCTTCGGAGGTTTCTGTTTTTCTCTGCTACCTGATGTAATGCCCAAGCAAGAGTTAATCTAAAAGATTAAGGACAATCTTTTGCTCATACAACATTTTGGATTCCTCCAGCATCTCCATTGTTTTTCTGAGCTCATGGAACAACTATCTTTAAAATACTTATTTGACATGGTTTTCTTCCATAGAGTTAAGAGATTCCCTAAGCAAGATGAGATAATGCATAAGACTGGAACCACCTGCCTTGCCAGACTAGAATTTGTGCCAGGGGTGTTTAAACTGACTGTTCTCTCTAAGAAAACAAAAGGGAGAGTGACTTTGCAGATGGATGAGCACAATACTGGCATTAATTGTGAGGGGAAGACCTAGTACCTTGAAACTTCAGGCTTCTGGCATTGATTTATTTTAATTTCTTCCAGCCAAGTGAGTTGGAGTTGATTGGCATGTTGCTTTAGGGGTGAGGAAATTGTTACTGTAAGGATGATGATCTCTAATAAAGTTGAAGACAAGTACCGGTATATAAGGTATTAAGGAAGCTGGTGGAGTTGCTAGGCATTTTTAGCAGCTGACTTATAAAGGGACAGTGAAAAAAACCATGGGTGGCAGAACAGGAAATCTGTTCAAATGTGACCTTCCTTCCATCACAAAGGGTTTGTTTTTTTTAATAGTAATATTAGACTGCAAGCATTTTCTCCAGTGGACATTAGTAAGTTCTGTTCTCATTTGTATTCATCATTCCCTTCAGCTGGAAGTAGATCTAGTGGAGGAAGCTGTGCCATTCAGAGATGGGGATGGTTCCACTTTCGTATAATCTTGGAGCGAGCACTTCATATGAAAGTATTCTGTAAAGAGCCAAGCTGTGCTGTTGCAAGCAACACCTTTTTCCCTACTGTTGCTATGCTACACAGGTTGCCTAAAGACTGTCTCCATTCTATTCCATCCCTTTCGTACATTTATCGCAAGTCCTGAAATGGGAAGGGAGTGAGCAGGTGTGTGTTCAGTTTCTGCAAGCATTCTATGAAGCTCTGACCCTTCTCTTGGCTTGTGCCTCTTACAAGAGTGCATATTCCATGACATTCCCAATGCCTTTTATACGTCCTTAAACTTTTGACTAGTCAGCTATTCATAGTGCACCAGCGTTTTTGAAATTTTCCATGAGTAGGAGCAGCTGCTACATTTAGTGTCTGTGGGGAAGAATCCACTTTGAACCTGACTAACTTGAAGGAAGGAAGTTAAAAAAACAGAACCGGTGGCATTTGTTAGTACGCTGGAGGAATGTTGTTAGTCAAGGCTTATTGACACAATCAAATAGCAAAGGTTGTTCCCTCATAACTGATATCTTGGGGTGTTCATCCCTGTTTACTCAATCAAAGAATTCCAGGTTCTTTTAGGTGTATTACCCACAGAGCCACCTTTCTGACACTAGCATCATGGCTGCTTACCTGGACAGTGAGGAGTGAGGCAGGCCAACAGAGAGGTTGGTCCTATGGTGGCAGCACCAGTTTGGCTTTGCCAAGACTTCTGTTCTATCCTGACTCTAAATGCCAGTGGTGCCAGTGTCAGGACAAGGGCACCACAGCACTGTGTTGGCCACTCTTGAGTCACCCTGCTTCCTATTCTGACAGAAATGTTGATGCTACTGTGTTTTTCTGTGAATGCTACATGACATGGAATCTCTCTTGTTGGAGGTTATTGGGTGACCACCTAGGTCTTCTCATCAGATGTCTCACATCGAATGTAACTGATCTGTAGAAAAGACTCTACGACCCGAAAATGCACATACTTCTGCAACCCAAGAAAATATTTAATAATTTGTTTTTAAAAATATGCTGCAGTAGTAGTAGTAGGTTTCTTGAATTAGCAAGGTGTTGGACTAGATTAGCGTTTCCCAACCTGTGTCCATGAGCTTCATTCAGGTGGTCCGTGATGTGTCTGTATTAAATATTCATATTGATTTATAATTGAATTTTTATTGCTTCTTTTATTTGCAGTAATGCAATAAAATGGAATTTGAATTCAGGTTGTAAAACAACAAAATACAATATAAGAAATAAAAGAAGCAATAAAAATTCAATTTAAATCATGTGGCATCTATTACTGCACATTACAATTGCTACAGCAGGCAGGCAAATCATTAAGTGGTCTGCCAAGACGCTTAGCAATTTTCATGTTGCCATTGGAAGGGGGGAAGTTTGGGTACCACTGGACTAAATGAACTTTAAGGTCCCCCCCCAACTATATTATTATTGGTGTGGGTACAAAAGGTCTTCCTGAGAATTATGGACTTTCTGCCAATTTATTTCAATCTGCAATTCTTCTCTTGAACGTGGCAATAAAGAAGCTAAAGTGAGGGGAGTCCAGAGACTTTTATATCCCAGGGTGGTTAATTCCATAAGATACTGTTCTTGGGGGATGCCTTTAAGAATGTGGATTTGAACCTGCAGCCCCTCACTGATAATCTGCACTGTAGAAGAGGCATTTTCCATGTATAATCTATCTGTGTGAGCAAAAGTAAGAGAAGGGCAAACTGGGGAGTTATCACTAGTTAGGGGGGCAGATCAATATATTGGGTAGAGATGCAAATAGTGTGGGTTAAAGGTCCCAAGAGAGAGTCCCTGTTCTTCTGAATAAATTCAGAATTGGACTATAGTGCATAATATATCAGCTGGCAGTCTTGCTCTTGCACATCTATTCAGGCAAGATTGAAAACTTAGCCTGGGGGCTACTGTGCTACATCCAGTTACAGTGCTTTCCTTATATTAAGAGAGCTGTGGCTGCACATTCTTATGAGCAATTTAGAACACGGCAACCAGTTGTGCCGTTATAACTTATTTTAGAATCTGGATTGTTTCAGTTTCTGACATTTTAGCTGCCACAATGCAAATTTGATTGGTTTTAAGTATTGTGGTAGCACCCTCTAGCAGCTAGCTCCAAGGTCCCTCATGCAAGGCAGCTCATCCACTCTAAACCACAAAGGAAAATTACTGCCCACAGAATAAAAACAAGGCCCTGAGGCATATGAATTTGCTTGAAGTTTCAAGTGGAGCTTCAGAATAGAGATAGAAGTCGAACGCTGACCTTGCCAGTCTTAGGGCAGTGTTGTGTCCTTCAAATTCTTTTTTCCTTGTGGCCTGCGACCTTGGACCCTTTCCCTTTCTCTTTTAAAAAACTCCAAATGGCAAAACATTATGTATCCCTGATGAAAGAAAAACTTTGGTTGTTCCATTGAGTTTAATTTATAATCTAACTTTGGAGGTGTACTTCATAGCTTTAGCTGTAAAACCCGTGCTTCCAGTTTGATAAAAGAATATTATCTTTTTCATGCAAAAAAATATATCTCATTTTTGTCATCTTCAATGCCATTTTGCCTTCTTAGAAACAGATATCGTAGCATGCAGGACACTATGGAAAAGCACATTTTCCTTCTGGCTTTGTTACACACATCAGACTTTGGTCAGCTAAAAGGCAGGACTTCCTGAAGTTCACAAAGCTCTCAGTGGAGCAAAATATCCCTATCATGGTCGAGGTTATTCTTGATACCTTCCAGCTGCAGTACTGTAATAACATTGTTCATAAGAACAGTTGCTTGAGTTATGTGAAGAATTGTAGGGAGAAATCTTCCCCTTGTCTCCTTCAGTACTTTCAAAAAAATTCCTATTGAGCGTCCCTTAAAAGTAGTCCTGCTAGCCTGGCTTTCTTTCACAGTGCCAAAATTGAGTTATAGGGACAAGTCAGAAGTGAAGCCAGGAAGTCAGACCCAAAAAGCAAAGCCCAGAGGAATGAACACAATGTGGCCTAGATCACACTAAGCCAAATCTTACTTAGTGCAAGTGTGCATGTCTCCAGAGAGGAGATAATGGATGCTTTGCTTCATCACTGGCTGCCTTCCTGATATGCTGCCATGAGCTAAGCCAGGGGTCAGCAACCTTTTTCAGCTGTGGGCCAGTCCACCGTCCCTCAGACCATGTCGTGGGCTGGACTATATTTGGGGGTGGGGAGAATGACGAGTTCCTATGCCCCACAAATAACCCAGAGATGCATTTAAAATAAAAGGACACATTCTACTCATGTAAAAACACGCTGATTCCCAGACCGTCCATGGGCCAGATTGACAAGGCAATTGGGCCGCACCTGGCCC